GGGCCCCGCCCCCGCGCCAGGCCCCCGCGGCTGCCCGCCCTAGTGCCTGCTCGGGTGCTGCGAGCCCGCCTGGGCCTTCCGCGCAGCGCAGTGCCCGCTACCCCTCCCGGCGGCCGGGGGCAGCTGCCAAGGGCGGCGAGAGGCGCCGCGAGCAGACAGGCGCGGGCAAGACAGACTCAAGGCCTGTTGCCCTGTAAGGGGAGCTGGCGCTAGGCACGCTGGGATACACTAGGGCAGCCGCAGTGCATGCCGGGATGCGAAGAGGCAGCCGGGGCGCAGTGCATGCCGGGATTTTCTGATGCGGCTTCAGTGCGGGGTGACGTCAGCGGCCGGGCTGGTGGCGCTGCTTTTGCGGGATTTTGGCTCAGGCTCAGCCGCGGGCGGGGGGAGGGTTGATCCGTGGTGTCCGCTGCCTCGAGGCATTGGGCTTTGCTCCAGGCGGGCCCAGCGCTCTGCGCGTGAGGATGGGGCCAGACGCCGCTGCCCTGCTCCGAGGCAAATCCACGGGCAGAAAACGGGGAGCAAGAAAAGCTGCGGTACCTCTGTGGCTGGTCCCTAGCATGCCATGGATGCAACACGTGGCTAGCTGCGACCCCGTGGCTGGGGCCCCTTCAGCTGATGGGCTCCCAGCCATGGCGGTGCACCATGAACTCCCGTGGCCGGGAGGCCCGTCAGCTGCAGGCTCCCAGTCTGGTCTGGGGGGCTCGTGGTGCACCTGGGAGCCCTGCCAACTGAGGGGGCTCCCAGCCTTGGGAGCTTGCTACTTGCTGGTGTAGGTGGGGCCCAGGATGGCGGTCTCAGGCGCTCCGTGAGCCAGCAATAAGGAGCGATGGGATCTGACCCAATCACGTCTCCTGCTATACATGTGCGGCGTGGCAGGAAGTGCAGTTGTGTGGATCACTATCCGATCCCATGGCGCCTTTAACCTGCTTGTCTGGCAGGGGCCTTAGTGGTATCCCCAGCCTCCTGCCCATGTCAGTTGCCCTGTTTTCCTTTTTCTTCCTTATTATCAAACTGACAGGCAAGGGCAGAGTTCCCACCCTCAACCCAGTCCTTTTTGTCTAACCACCAGGGGTTGTGGTTTTCTCTGACAAAAAAAATCCCCAGTTTTCAGATTTAAAGAAGTATACAGGCAGTCCTCGACTTACATTTCGAGTTACAACGTTTTGCACTTACAACGTTTATAAATTGACACCCTGTTTCAAGTTTCTGACCTCAGTTTCGACTTTACAACACTTGATCTGATGCCAGGCCGTACCAGCGAACAAGTGGCTGGGGGAGGGAAGGAGGGGTCCTCCTCCCCCACCCCCGGGCCTCAAGCAGCAGGAGGGAAGGGGAAGTGGGTCCAGATGGAGCGGGACCGGGGCTCCGTCCCCGCCTGCTTCCCCCGTCATTCTTGATGGGCAGTTGGCTAGTGTATAAATATTAGTGGCATTTCATTTTAATCACAGAAAAATGTGGATTTTGGGTTACTTTTTAAATCTGAATATTGGGGAATTTTTTTATCAGTGAAAACCAGGATCCTTGCTAAATGCTCTTATGTAACTTGTATGTACTCCCTCTCATCTCTACTGTCTCTAGTGGGTTATGGAATAGAGAAAATCCCACACAATTTACTGATTCGTTTTGATGCACTGGCTGGGGGAGTAGTTAGCTGATTGCACGATTTCACAATGATTACACACTTAATTTATACAACACGATTTTATTTTAAAACTCTTTGCTATGTATATAACACTGCTTAGCTTTAAGAAACACCACAAACATTAAAAACACAATAATTACATACATCAGAAACAATGCTCCGGATGCACTTCCTTCCCAAACAATGCTATAAGAATTAGTGTTACAAAAACAACTACAATTACAACTAAAAGTTAAATTTGAATCAATACTATTATTTTTCATAATATACTTACAATCCTAGAATACCGAGAAGCCAAATACCAAAATATGGTTTCATTCCTCAGTAGTACGGGCGCTCCGCGGCTTCAGCGTGAACTAAGAGAATCGTGTTCATGGAGAGGTTGGGTCAGGTGATCAATCTGGTCCGGGCTACACTTGCGATTCTTCCTTCGTTGTTCTGCAAGTGAAGTCACCTCCAAATTGGGACAGTAAGTTACAGGTTTTTATTGAGTGAGCTGCAGTCAGTGGGCTCCTCCTACTCAATTTGTCACTACTCCCAAATTTGGGCTCGGATCTTACTCAACAGAAATTACCTTTGTTGAGCATTTTAAATTACTCTTGGGGAGACTTCTTCCATATCACTGTAAATACCTTTTTCTTAGCAATTTGGTTAAAAGGCCTTAGGCTTTGATGTCTTGGAACTCAGGATATTTGCTTTCTTTGTAAAAGACTTCTAAAGATACAATTTAAATTAAGGCTTTAAGTGAAGTCAGGACATTTTTCACGTAGCCCCAAAAACAATGACTTAGATAAGGAGATAAATCCTATCTTCTTCCTGAAACTGGCTAATGGGCAACCTTTACAAACATTCAAACTATTTCATTCAATATGACATCTACAAGAGCAGTGAACTCTTCCTAGAATGCTGTATAGCACTGCTCCTTGCTTTCCTGTTTTGTTTGGCTGGTGTTTTGGTGTTTGGTTGAATGACTTAGGCCCCTGTCTGATGTAACAGCTGGCTCTTCCAGAGGAAACAATACCCTCAGAAGAAGGGTTTTAGGGGAGAGCAAGGGGAAGGAAGAACCATTCTCAGCACTATAGTCCCAGCAATGGCACTAGTCATGAACTGATCATTAGTCCTGAAATGGCTTGTGTTTTACTTGAAATCCCAACTTCTGGAGACAGGTGATTCCAACAGAATCTCAATGTTTTCCTCACTTCTCCCTTTAAGTTTCTAGTCCTAATGACTGGAGACAGGCAAAAGATGGTAGAGGAAACCGAGGCACAGAGAGGTGAATGACTTACTCACGGTCACACAGCAGGTCAGTGGCAGAGCTGATCATCTTTACCACCCTCTCCCTCTGTCCAAGTGTGCAACTGGGCTTTTGCTGTCTGACAGATCCATAATAGCTGAAGAAATCCCCCTCTCTGAGGCAGGTGTCCTGGTGGCTGAATTGCTCCAACATTCCTCTCCTCTCCCTATGGCACTATAAATCCAGACAGAGAACTTACACAGAATAGGACAGATCTGGGGTCTTTGTGTGCCAAGTAAGAGGCAGACATCCGTTCATTAAAATAGGAGGGCGGAAAGTAATTCTAGGCCAGCTGCCCCATTCATTCTGTACTATTCAATCTAGGCACTGAGCACTTCATCTTTCATCTGAACTCCCCATCAAAATCAATGCAAAGTGAAGATGCTCATTGCCAGTGAGGAAAGTTCAACACCTTGTGCAATTCAGCCCTTACTGAGGCCAGGGACCTGCAGGAATAACAATCCATAGCAGTGGTGCTTAAACTTTTTAGACTCAAGAGTCCCCTTGTTGGATTCAAACACCCTTCAGAAAACACCGCTTCTTAACTTTCACTTGTTTCTTGATAATGAAAGAAAAATTGAGCAATTCTTGTGTTGCAAAGAACTCAGAACGACCACAACAGGTTAGAACATTTTTGACACTCTGGATTCCTATTTGAAATCCTAGGTTTTATCTTATGAACTATGCGATTTGTCTGCATGCCTAACAATGCTAATATTCACCCTTAAAAGGATCTCAGAACACCTCAGGGTGCTGTAGCACCCATGACTGGTCTATGGCCATGCAGGATGGGTTGTATTTGGATGAGCAAGCACAAGGGGTCAGAGCTGAAGTTGCACAGGCCTCTCTGCTCTGGAACTAACCTCCCAGGGCTTTGCTTTACAGCCCTAAAGTGCTTTTTGCTGTGCTGTCTTGTATGTGCAACTCAGAGGAGGCTTTACAAATGGAGGTAGGAGAAGACCCATGGCTTTGCTGATTCTTAATTTCAGGCTGGATCCTATAGGCAAAATGTTATTTCTTTTAAATAATTTTTAAAACCATCTGGAAATAGACCTGACCTTAACCTAGGACTAAACCTGTTAACTGAGTTATACCGAGTTGTTTTCTTTTGATTTTATTCATAATTAAGTCCTGAGTGTTGCCCAATTTCAGACTTTTATCACTGTTGAGCCCCATGCTCTGTATGCATGAATTCTTGCAACCTGTGACTTTAAACTTCCTGACATAATCACCAAAAAAACCCGGAGCTGACTTCAGCAGCTGGACTAGTCACATGACTGGCACTGATAAACAAGACAGAAAGAGAAAGCCATTGGCCAGCCATTGAGCAGCTTCCAGGATCTAACTTGCTGGCAGCTAATTTACGGAGTAAGTATGTGGGGCAAGTGTGCCAGCTTCCTTTTCATAAAGCTAATTCTGGCTGAAGAATTTAGAGGGAGAGAAATCCTATAAACAAAAGGGGAACTGCTGCATTGTTGCATAGAATTATTCTGGGTTAAAAGTGCGCAGGCTTTTATCCAAGTAGCAGCAGCCAGGATTTTCAGGGAGGATCTGAATCTGATCTTGACTGTAGCTTTTGTCTCTTGTTTCCTCTTTAGTTTAGAGGACAGGTTGTTTGTTTGTTTGTTTCCTACCTATTCTGAGGCCTATAAACCACCCAGTGTGCTCTGGACTGAGCTCCACATACAGAGCACATGTAGTTGTTTACACATTTCACACATCCTTTGGTATTGTGCCAGCAGGGTGGAAAACGGTAAACATCACTGATCTT